ACCATGTCTGTGGGTCAGCAAGAAAAATGAGCCGCAACATCTTGTCAACTTCTCGCATGTTTTTCAATTCAGAGCGCAATTCCCGCAGGAGACCTGCCTCAACTCCTACCCGCCAAGCTACGGCCACGGCTTGATCAAGGGTTGTTTCCATTGATGTGTCTTCCAAGGATTTGGATGAAAACACCTCGGAATTACCATCAAGCAGCACAGCAGCTTGTAACGGCAACTTGCAGGCTTTGGAAACTCGTGGGCCACACTGCGCCCAAGCGTCCGCCGCAGATTGAGCTCTGGTCCATGCCAGGGCCAACTGCGAAGTAGCCTGAACTGTCAATCCCGTGTTGTATGAATATTCTTCCAGCCGGGCCAGGTTCGGAAAAGCATCAGCCAGCACAGCACCGCTATCTAGTTGCTCTTCTTGCAAAAAATGCGCCGAGATTGTCAATTGGTGCCTCCCCGCCAAACGCCCACACCAGGCGGGGACTTCGAGGCTGCGCATCATTTGACATGCGCCATTGCTTCCAAGAGGCAGTAAGTCCCCAACTAAGGATTTGGGAGCTGAGGGCCCTGCACTGCGGGAAATCAACTCAAAGGCAGACCCACTGGCTCCTCAAATCTGCCGTGCCAACCAAACCTACCCACTTCCAGCACAGTACGCCGCTGGCAGGGCCACTGAAACCGGTCTCTGGAACCCCCTGGATCCGTATCTTTGTACTTCTTCTAGGTGGCAGAAAGCGCGGGAGCTCACAAGTTTCAACAAAAAGCGGTGTGAAGTCGTGTGTCCAACCACAATCGCACAGGGAAACACGCCGCCTGGTCAGGTGCGCCGAGCACACGGCCACTGCAGAGGCAGTCAGTAGTCGGAGGACGGGCATGGCAAACGTAAACTTACGCAAAGGCGGGATGTTTTTTGGGGCAAGCAGGCTGGTGGCGTGCAACAAGCAGTTGCAAAGCCCTTCTCCAGGCCAACTGGCACAACCAACTCCGCACTCAAACCTGTATGAAGTATCTTCGTGAAACTAAGATCAGAACTGCTATGATGGCTGCCGGGGCGACTGCTTGCAGTGAGGCCTTGTTGGCTGAGTGTGCAAAACATGGCCCAGCGACTCATGCCACCTTGAAATACCTCTGCCAAACTGAGGCCGGCACATATTCTACAAAAGGCACCAAGAAGCCAATGCAGGTGGCTCCCCTGGCTTGCACCTTGCAAGCCACCAGAGTGACACGAGTCTTGGTATGTTGGTGCAGCAATTCCATTTACCGAAGGCTCCTTCAACAAAAGCAAAGGCCTCAGGTGCAGCGGGGTGGAGCCGCATGGCCTCCACCACAAGTGCGATCAGGACGGGCATCTCTGCCTGGATGGCCAAGGAAATCACGCTACGGCTGGTGCGGATGCTATGCAACTATCAACCCAGTCTCCATGGAAGGCATTAGAGTGATCAGACCGAACGGAGCCAGCGCTGCCTCAGAGCAAAACAGGCTAAGCCGGTGCCTCCCCTCGATCGGTGCCGGCCAAGGTATACTCACCTGCAGATCTCTTCACAGGGTTTGCGTTCAGCACCGTGCTTGAAATTGTGTGGGTTGCTAACTCTGGAAATGCTTAGAAATCCTATTGTAGCAAGAAATGTGTTTGAAATGTGTTGTACGATGCCTGGGAGATTCTATTGGAAACGGCTGTGTGTTGCACATGAGTTACAAATCAAAAACCAAATCTGCTGTGCTGCAAATGAATTGGGTCTCCAGAAGCCTTTCAACATCTCTTGGCATTATTTGACTTCTTGTGTTTTGCATGTCCTTGCTTGTGCTGCGCTCTTCTGCATTTTCCTGACGAGTCGAAAAGGCTCTTTAAGGAGAGGGCAAACACAAAAACACAAGAATGCAAACAAAGAAGCTCGAAAGTGCGTTTGATAGTGCGTCGCCTAGAGGAACCACAAAAGAAACACAGCTGTTCAAAAAACGCAAAGCAAATTACCTGCTTCTAACATCTTCGCCCACAGATTTTTGTAGTTGCGGGGCATCAACAATTACTTCCAGCGACATGTACAGAATGTATCGACATTGTCATTAATTCTAGCACCTTGTACCAGCCTGCCGACATAAGAACCTTACTGGTGGAGTGGCTTGTGTGTTGCGCGAGGCTTGGATTTCATAGTTCTGCTCTGCAGGCACTCCAGGGACACTCCAAGGACGGATTGGGGCACTGGAGGAAACTTCTGGGATCCTTTAGGTTTCGCACAGCAAGGATGCTTTGAGGTTCGGCGCTGCAGGGATATTCTGCAGTTTGGTTACTGAAGGGCCAAACGCAGAGCAACGAACTTTTCCAAGGCCAAGGTGACCTGCTTCAAAAAAAAACTTTCAGCATTACAACACGCTTTGTCGCCTTCAATCGACCTCTACATGGCACCTCGTTGCGGATCCCCCTTAAAACACACTTCCAACACACTTTTTTGTTTGTGGGGCTGCTGCAAAGTTGACAGAGACAGAACGTCTTAATGATGGTGCCAATAATGCTTCAGCTCATGACAGACGTCCACATTCATCTAGAACATGGTGCTTCCTCTGTCTAAGCCGAGAGACCATCGATATCTTCATCAAGAATGTCGATGATTGTGCACAAGGCCGCATCTACCTGGCTCTGTAAGTGGTTTAAGGGTTCCAGTCCTTGAGTAGAGGACTGTGCTTGCCAAGCCATCTCCAGGCCGGAGAGACCGCTGAGACGCAGTTCATGTGCAGCTTGAGCTCAGAGGCCTCACTGAATCAGTGGCGCCACTCATCCCATTTCCGGCCCCTCACGCTGACTCACCCTGCCGCTGGGGGGCAGTGGTGCAACCTCCTGAACCTAATACGATCACATGTACTTCCTGTTCCTGATTTTATTCCAGAAATCTAGTCTTCAGCCAAAGGGCTACGAAAGGCATTCCCGACAAGGCGGCTGCTGCCCAGAAAAGGTACTGGTCGCAGATGCAATGCGGGGCGCATGGCTCTGACATGTATAAGCTTCAGATGCTCGATGCTTAATGACCCGCCCCTGTGGGTCTGTCCTTGTTCAGCTTTCGCCCAGCCGTGCCAGATCGGATCCATGCCACGATTGCCTCATGCTCATGCTACCCCTCATCCACCAATCTGGTTGGCACCGTAGACCTCCCGCCTCCATGGCATATCCATGGAGCACTGGTCTCCACTCAGACGTGGTCAGTGCAATGCGACCAATGGCCTCACAGAGCGTGGAAAAAGCGTGCAAAGTAGCATGAAGAGTGCTCATGAAGCGTGCTTCAAGGATCGTGAAGGGCGCCCTCCAAACGAGATACCACGAGAGACCATGCTTCAACATTCGACGCCTATTTCAACTTACCCACACGAACCTCAGCCGCCGCCTGCGCTGCGCCGGAGGCAGGTGAGGACCTAAGCGCAGATTTTGAATTCCTTGCAGCCCTGGCCATGCTCAGGCCTACTCCCACACATGAGCTTCAGGGTTGTAGCGATGCTTTTCTCGTGAAACAAGCTGGAGGCTCCTTAACCTCTGAGCGACAGCCTTACTGTCTGAGTCTTTCATTCACCATGACATGGCGTGCTACGCTAAGCTCTCATCTCAGCGAAAGAGCGGAGATGCAAAAGCTCCCTGTTATCCAATGCACCTCCAAGCAGTGGGACTTTGGGTATGAGGTGCTCTTCGCGACAATATATACTCAGGGTTCCGAAATGAGGTCGCGCATGTGATTACGCTGAGTGATGACCCACTGCAAGACGAAGCACGTCCTGCCAGCCTACATTCACGACCTGGGCCTGCCTCTGGCAACAAAAGCAGTATCTCTGGTCATCTTAAACCCATACAGAAGCTATGCGCAAGGCCAGCAGCCCAGCACCTTTGAGATGCCAGGCTCAGGGTTGCAGGCACGGAGGGACAACGACATTGCTACTTCTAGCCCGGTGCCCTGACTGCAGGCATCCACACCTGATGGTGATGGAGCTTTGCACACGGGGGCCCCAGAGGCGAATCAAGGGCAGTTCACTTGCCGAACAATTCTATGATACGCGAGCGGCGTGGTAGCCCGCAATGCAAGTCTACGAGCTGCCTGTCTGCTTCATCCGACTCATCTGCCTGGTCTCCCCCCCTGCGGAAACCATCAGCTCTATGAAGTTTTACGAAAGAAGAAATGACTAAAGCAGCCTCGCAGTCCTGCAAAATGATCGTACATGCCAGAGATTCAAGCTCCTCAAAAAGCTGAATGGGCATGTGCTGCTCATGCCTTGCAAAGTCGTGTCTTGTGAATCTTCTCCCTGAAAAATTGACATCCGCAGGAGCAGGGCTCTTCGGATAGCCAACACTGTGAATCATCGTGTCACAAGTGCTCCTTCGGATACCAGCAGTCGTACATTTGCCAAAGTCAGGTGCAGCTGGAGATTGCCTGGAAATATCCACAGGTGTACAATGTCTTTAGGAGCACTCTGGCTACCTTCAGTCTCTGCCTCCAGCTGCACCAGAACGCACCACGGCAGCAACAGCAAAACGTGCAAGCCAAGAAAACCCCGCTCGGTAGGCCACTAAGAGATCGTCTGACTTCAGGCATGAAACATGATGAAGCATGCCGTGTGGAGCTACGGGGGCCAATCTGAACACGTGTTCTCGTGGATGGGGGTTCTCCTGCAAAGAGAAGGAACTGCACGTTGCAAAGAGCAGCAGCACGCCCATCAGTTCAACAAAACTGGTGTTTTTGGATGTCGAAAATGATCACATGCTACTCCGTCCAGCAGCTCACCATCAACGAGCAGTTCATTCAGCATGAGTTCTTCTGCCATGCTAACTTAGGCACCCAACAGAAAGACGCTCAGATCAAGCATACCAATGAAGTCTGTCATGCTAAGAGCAAATTATAGAAAATATGGGGGCACGCTTTGAGTCACCTCAAGGTCAACAAGTCGGGCACCACCTAAATCCACCTTATCTCAAGCCAGCCACAGTGTTGGATACCTTCATATGCACCTGAAATTCAGCCATCCTCTTTCATTACATTTGGGGGCTCGTGCCACGTCACTTTTGTAGCTGGCTGCACCTGCGAGACCAGCTGGCCTGCCATGCCTGCCATGGAATTTCAGCTTCAGAAAAAAAGGCTTTAGCAGGGTCTGTTCTACTGAGCTCAGAATGTCTGCTTGGAGTGGCACGCTTTCACGTTGCTTGTGGCTTCCTTGCTTCTGTCTCTGTAATGTTATCTGTCTTCTCCTCTAACGGCTAACGGCTTCGACAAAGTGTTGCGCTAAGAGCAGCGAATGAATGTTGAGCTTGTTATTGTGCCTAGGAAACCAACAGAAACTCGATTGAGCGGTGTACTGGCCAAGTGAGTGGGAGCATGACCTTGCCCTTTCACTTTCTAGTTGCGTGCAGAAGCTTAACATGCCTGCCAGTACTGGTACAGCACAGTGAGGATGCCTTGTAGCCTTGAACAGCGGCCTCATTGACACATCCAAAACACATCCACACGCATGAACCTCAATACCTCCCTCAAGCTTCCCAAAGAACATTCTAAGCATTGCGCCAGCACCATCCTAGTGTGCCTTTCATCGACGATCCTGGAAGCCAGCAACGTAGCCCTTGACAGTCTGATGTAGGCCTCATGACAGGCTTGTCATGCGAATGCTTGATTTAGAAAACAAATCTTCCGCCTGTCCGACATCATGGCCACGAGCAAATCCAAAGCTGGCAAGACTATGTTTTCTAAGGTACTGCTCCACCATGGCACTACGCCAACACAAGCATCCAAGTCCCAGCTGAGCACGAAGCTCATGGCTGAATCCATGGCCCTGGCATGCGCCTACAGTCGCCAAGGAGTAACAATTTCAGCAGGCTGCAATTCCAACAGCGAAACCCGCCTTGCTCAGCATGTCGGATGCATCAAAACCAGTGTCGCTGCAGTAGCCCAGATTGCTGTGCACCTTGGGCAATGTCTCATGGAAAGGCGCAGATGACCCGTTAAGCTGCGCTTGGGGTCAATGCTCTTCAATCACATGGCATCTAAGCGCTTTCTTTAGCTCGGCATACATGCCCGCTACCTCTGACTGCCAAGCTCACGGCGGTTTTGTCGTACTTTCCTGCTGGCTCCGGTGGCAAGGTCACGCGCTGCGACCTGCGAAACATTGGAGACAGTCAGCAAGGTTGTATGCAAAAAGCAAGCAATATATACCGCTCCCATAACCAAGCGCATGCCGATGTTCCTTCCCGCGACATACTGCCTCTGCGTCTGCATGGCCATCGGCTGCTGGGGCGGCGTCATTGGCTGCGTCATTGGCTGCTGCATGGGCTGCGTCATGGGCTGCGTCATGGGCTGCGTCATTGGCTGCGACATGGGCAGCGACATCGGCTGCGCCATGGGCTTCTGCATGTGGGGCATGGGCGGTGGGCCAGGAGGATGCTGCTGCACCACAGGCAGGGGAGCCACCTGGCGAAAGCTGCTTGAAAAGCAAAAGCTGCCGCATAGGCCTGCACCACATATCATCGCAGCCAGTTGAAGCCCGCCTGTACCATGGAGCCGACAGCTGACGGCGGCACGTGCAGCTCCCGGCGCATGATCTTGCGCAGTGCGCGTTTTAACTCCAGAACACTCAAGACATGTCTGCAAGAAGCAACATTCACAAGGGCTGCCACCTTACAACTGCTCAGTTAGGACAGCAGGATAAATCCGACAAGCAAGCAGAATTTCACAGAGTCGTGTAAAGACTCGACCTCCAGATCTGAGGCATTCTGCTCCACCTGTCACCACTTCGACAGGAAACAGCAGTATTGCTGACTTCTCAACTCTCTTGCTTGGCCATGCCAACTTCGAATCTGAACAAAGATTTCAAAGCCAAAAGCAATCAGGCAAACGGGCCTGCATCTTCACCTGTCGCAGCTCATACCTCAAAGACTCTTGACCATCCAGAAGCTCCTTTCCAAGGCTGTCAGAACATTGTGCCCGAACTGCCTTATACCAAGCTTAATGGGGTGGATGCTACAAAGCCCGTGATAACTCCTGAATCTGCGTCTCCAGATTCTGCACTGATAGAGGCCTGATCTTGTGAGGACCAAGTGCAAATACAGGAATGACAGGATCTCAGCAAATGCACAGAAGGATTCACGCGTTCAACGACCACAAGGAGGGCAATCTGTGAGTAAACTTTCCCAAGTCTCTGCGCAGCCAACTCGCGGACTTTCTGGTCATGAGCTTCAATCTCCCTGTCCAGTCGGTCTGCCTCCTCTGAGCTGAGGATGCCCGAAAAAAGAGAGCTTTACAGCAGACATGACGGGCCAAAAGCAGCCTTCCTGGAGGTGCGCTGCAGCGGTCTGTGGAGCTGGAAACGCCGAGACATCAGCATACTCGGGCATGTCATAGCCCTGCATAGGGTCTTCGGAAACTTGCTCAGGCAATCTCAGCACGTTGTGCAAGCCGTATGGCTTGCTTCAGCACAACTTTATGCAAATCAAGCATTGCTCGGCATTGCTGCCTTAGGATAGTTGCTCGTCGAATCCACGGGCGACGGGGAGTCGAAGTAGTCATCCTTCACAAACCTCACATCTGAACATCTGACGCATGCTCGTCTGCAACCCCTGGGCTGGTTTGTGGATTCTGGCTACAGAACATCTGCTTCAGATCATTCAATCCCGCCCAGCCACTTGAATTCGAATGGAGGAAGGCTCACGCCCCCAGGCAGACTGCCTGCATGACCCAGCTAACCAGCTCTCCATGCTGCTCTTGGCCCTTGGCATGATGTGCTTTCTTTCGGCCTGCACCATAGATGTACCCTGAGTCGGCACTTGGGACCTCTCACGAAGCAAGCATTCTCAGCTGCACCAATCACTTGCGCTCACCGAAGCTTAAGATGCAAAAGCGTGAGACCTTGTAAGACACCGGAGGTGTTGACGTTGTTGTCGTGTAGGTCACTCCAGGCCTGTCCACACATGCTTTCGGGAAAGCATCTGCCAAACAGCAGGAGATCCCAGAAACTGCAGACCCATTTTCCCGAATTCTCCCTGCAGCCACGGGGCTTCGAGGTTGAAAGTGGCACAGCCACAAAGGGCGAAGTGCTAAGAGGTGCGGCTAGCGGCAGGGAGCCATAGGCCATGCCCTGACATAAAGCTTTATGATAATTGAGCTTGTGAATGCTTCTGATGCTTGTGCGTCCCGCTCATCTCAGAGGCCCTGGCACTGTTGGTACTTGTTTGCGTCATGGTCAAAGGCTGACCACTGAACCTTGCACTGTCGCACTGCAAATGCTGCCGAAGCTGCCGAAGCCTGGGCTCCTCTTGGATGGCAAGTAGCGTTGGGATCTCTCCAAGCAGGGTTCCTGTGGCCATGGCAATGGCAGCTTCGGTGGCCTGGCGCTCCAATCGCTCGAAGCCTTGGCCTTGGCTAAACTCTGAACTTCCTGGCCTCGAGCTGCTCTTGCAGCCAATGGCAAGAACTACGCTGCGAGCCAGAGCGACAACAAAATGGCTTGAGAAGGCAGGGCACTGACTGGACCGCTACAAGGACTGTTCTAATACCCTGCAAGGCCAATCGCCGCTGCGCATGAAGCCGACACATGTGCTGCAGGCCCGACTCATAGTCATATTCGTAGCCTTCGTGCCCATCAGCATTCGACCACCAACCGTCCTAGCGAAGCTCCACTTGCACAGCCAGATGGTGAACAAGTTAAGCTTTTGGCAACCAGCAACGACTCGGCTTCTGGGTGTCTGGACTTCTCTCTTCTCCGAGGAATGAGCCGCCTCAGGCAGCAGTCATGAGATCACATGAGACTATGATTTTTTTTGCATCTTTGACCCCCAAAGGCCGCTGCAGGAGGCCGCCGCAGCTGGGAGATGAGAGTCTGAGAGCACCGAAACTTGAAATGGAGCTGTGCACCTCTCTGAACCCACACCATGCCTGAACACCACGATCCACTTGGGCAACATGACCAGGCGGAGCATGGGGTCTCAGTCAGCTTCCAACGTCGGTAAACGGAGTCTGTTTGGCCAGAATACTGAGCATCCCACGTCAATGCCGCCAGAGTCCGACCCAGAGCCTTGCAAGTAAAACCCAAACCATCTGTGAACCAATGCAAGCAAATTGAACAATATGCGCCTGCATCGCGACTCTCAACACCCCTGACGGTGCCGATTCCTCCTGCCTGAGACTTCCATGCCCAGGCTCAGTTGCCACCACAATTTATGCAAAGCTCGAAATTAACCGGCTGCACCCTGAAATGCAACGGTCTCCAAAGCCCGTTTCAGGAGCAGACGCAATGATCTCAAGCAGCAAGACCAAAGCAGCCTAGAAGTCTTGAACTTCCGACGCATCAGATAGCAGTCTCACTCACAAGCAGACTAGCAACACAACATGCGTTCAAGCATTGACATGAAACACCATTCGCTTTTCAGCACGGGGCTGGCAACTGCGTGAGCTCTTCCCCATCTCCAGCCCGGGCCGCACACCTTACTCGTCAAATCAGCAGCAAACGTTAAGGTAAATTTTGGGGGGGAAGGGCGGGTGGGGGGGGGGGGCGGATAAGGTATTAACCCCAAGCAGAAAAATTTTCTTGTCGTAGTGGTATGAAAGATGAACAGCTTTCCAAGGCTAGTTGGCATAAAGCCTGCTGAACTGGCAAGATGTGGCTTGCACGCAAATGCCAAGCTTTTTGTGAAAGTTCTCATTCTGTGACTCAAGGCATTGCTGTCATTGGTAAGCATGCGAGGCAGACAGCGTGGCCTTTGCTAGGGAGGCCCAATGTGCTGTTTACAGCGTTGAGAATAGAAGGTTGCGACGGCGAGCAGGACGACATGTGATAGTCAAGTTGCAAAAAGAGCTAGCAATCGCCTTGATGTTGTTTTCGCTTCCTGCTTGGCCACTTGACAGCATGGATACGCAGCATACTGACCCCAAGCCGCTTTGCATGTATGGGCATTATGGGCTGTGGGATTGCTGGAGCTTGATTTGCAACTGCGCCCAATGGAAGGGCCTGCATGTGGACGTGCTTCAGCAAATTAGCTACCTAGGCACCGCCACACCAAGTTTGTGGCGTCAAGTCAAAGGGAGGTTTGCAATGTCCAGTGTGCTACAAGGTTGGAAAGTTGAAGCACAGCGGGGCAAGAGCAAGAGTACCTCCAGCAAGAGCACCTCGGTGTTGCATGCCGCTAAAATGGGAGAGCCTGCCTGGGAGTCATGCAGACTAGACTTCGGCACGATTCGAGATTGGACGAAGTGCAGGGAGATGTTAGAGTAGGATCCAGCTCTGAAGGCTTCTGCGGCATAGCGATCATGAGAAAAAACTCAGCTTAACGGGCTTAACTGCATAAAGCTCTCTCATGCAAATGTCCCTGCAACGAGCACGACTCTTCTGGTAGTCTATGCCTAATCAAAAGGGGTTCCCAAGGTCCGGTGTCACACCGCTGGTGGGCAGACGAGGGAACGAAAATTGTGCATTGTCAGATCTATGGCTTTCGCTTCTCGGGCTGCTGGAACACGCGAGGCTGTTTAAGCCGAAAACTTTGTACCGATCTGATCTGTTGCAATTTGCAACTCGTTCGTAGATCAGTTCCTTGGGCTCACAGATTGCTGTGTCATATGGTCAAATTTACAATTGACAGCTTCCACCATCATCACTGTGACTGCGAGCCCTGTGCTTGTGCGCTAAAGGCTCGTGTACAGGTGAAGCCGTGCAGGATTGCACCAGGCCACCACCTTCAGGCTTCTCGAGCCTCTTCCTGGCCAGCACCTCTCCAGCAACGGCACACAATCAGACACGTCAGTCAAGCAGGGCGAATCATGAACCCTGCAGGCAAGGGGAATCTCTTGGGCTCTGACTGTAGTAGCCCCAAAGGATGCCCAGTAGAAGCACCTGCGTATTGTGCGAATTTAAAAGGAATGCAGAATTAGATGTGAAGCGGCAGGGCCTGGAGCAGACCGCGGACAGCGTGAAACTCCTCACAGGTAAGCGCTGTCTGCAGACATCTGGGGCTATTAGATGCTGCTGCGGACTGCTACTCTCTTCTTGACTTGCCCCCGTCCACGGGGACAGGCTGGTCACCGGGCGTCAGGCCTCTGCCAAGCAGCACACATCTTCACCGAGTGAGCACAGTGGAGCCCGGCAGCCAAGCCTATCATCTGAGCCCCGTGGGTGTACATGTAGATGTTGGCAGGCGTCACCTCGGCAACATTCCTCCAAGATTGGGCATGACCCCATGCCTTCCTAAAGCCTTTTTTGGCCGCTTCACACCTGAAATCTGGCAAGACGCCGCCCAGGTGAGCGCAAAGAGGCCCAAGGCAGAGAGCCTCATGCTTCGCTTAGATCGCACCGTATGATGAGTGAGTGCAGGCCATCTTTGGCCGCATGTCATAAATGTTTATTTCCTGGTTGGGTCTGGGGACGAGAGCTGGCTCAACATCAAAAGCTGCTAACAGAAATGCAATTAATCATAACAAGCTTGAAATTAGTATGCAGCAGCCATGCACAAGGAAGTCTGCAATGGCTCAGAGAGCTGTCTGAAACCAGGCGTCTGTTTGATTTTGGGACGAGCGGCGCAGGCAGGGAGCGCAATGCGGCAGGCAGTTCCCAGTTAAAGGCTCCTCGGGCCAGAACATTTCCGTACGTGGTGAATCTAAGACAGTGCCACTGTGCAGGCTGTGCAGCCGGCCTGCCAGTCCAAGCAGCAGGGAGCCTAGGAAGAGCCCAGAGCCGCCGGCTATCTCTGCCACACCTGCCATTCAGCAACGACCCACCAGCAACATCTGTAGCCGTCACTTTTGAGAGAGACAGCGTGTCTCAAAGCTGCCTGACCTTCTGTTCTCAGATTATTATGAACCCTTCCAAATCACCAAGACCTAATTTCTGAATTTCAGTAGTGGAGCACACAGATCGGGACCTGCCTGTCCAGGCCACATGGAATTCGGCGCTGCCAGGCAAGTACCAGAAGCCCCAGGTGCCTGAGGCAGAAGTTGTCTACCATGAGATTTTTGAATACGCAATGAGCAACTCAAACTTCAAGCTGTGAGGGTGCTCACCCGTCAACAAATCGAGCGGTGATTTGTTCCGGGCCTTGCGGCGGATAGATAGCTTCAAAAGCTTCTGCCGCAGTGAAGTGGGCAATGCCTGCACCCATTGAAGTTACATGAGCGCTTTGAAGAGGCGTTGGTGCACATGCATGGCTGCAAGCCAAATGTCCAACCGCATGGAAGCAATGAAAGCTTCCTAGCACTGCAGCACGGGCATCTTTTAGCAAACGCCGGTCACCTGGGTGCTACCCGGCTTGCGAAAGCGACGTTAAATCCAGGTTGAAGTGATCAACCCTCTAAAGGGGCAGCTGCTGGCGATGCTGCGATGTCCTTCTTGTGCAAATTATGGATGTGCTCCTCCATGGAAGGAAGATGTAGAACGGCAACATGCAAAGCAAAACTCAAAATCCAGCAGAAAATGCTCCAATCAACCCACCAAACCTTGGCACATGCAGTGTTTGGATCCTCGACGGTGCTGTTGGTCACGAAGCGCCAAACACAAATATGGTCTCGAGTCCTGGCCATGGCGTGGACAAAGCAACAGCCATTCAATCCCATGCCGGAGAAAGAGTTAAGTCAGCAAACTGAGCTTAGGCAAGCTTCTGGCCAATGCGCCGGACACGGCCAAGTGCCTGTCGCTCGTAGGCTGTCGCTGTGCTGACCGTCTCCGCGTTCCTTGTTGCATGCTGCGGTAGGTACAGTAAGGATGCTTACTACGGTTACGTTAGCATTCAGCTTGCAAAAAACATCCCCAACTGCCGCTTCTCATACTTTATTGGCTAAATCAATTCGTAGCGTGAGTTCATCGGGTGGACGAAGAGGACATGGCCAGCAGCTGTAAGGTTTGTCCCGGAAGCGGCACGCTGCAGGGACAATACCAGGACAAATGGAGCATCATCGCCGGTCTCTTCCTGCATGCATCCCACACGCGATACAATGTTACAACCATTTCTCTACATTGTAGAGCTATGATCGGAAGTCCTGGAAACGGCGGAGCAAGGCACCATCGGCATGACCCAACCGTGAGCTTGTCTTCTTGGGGTTCCCAAGCTGCAAGAATGGCAAACCGTGGGACTTCAGCGCGTCACACACCTTGATCTCCAGGTCTGACCACTGAACAAAGACCAGCATCTTGGCAGCAGGGTCCTCTTGCCTGATCTCCCTGATCTTCTTGGCAATGGCGTTCAACTTTGACCCATGGCGCTTCCAGGCCGGGGGCAACTGCGATGGTTGAGGCCTTGCCTCTGGGCTTTTCAGCTCCATAACCACGGAGGAAATCTGCGAGGCATCCAGCTCTGCGCGGCATTCAGGGCAGTAGGGCATTCGCTTTAGAACGGCTCGAATGCAATGCGTATGGAAGACATGCGAACAGGGCAAGATTGCCATAGTGCCGAGGTCGTGCGCGGAGTCCAAGCAAATAGAGCACGCGTGCTCTGTGCTTGCGCTCATCGCAGAGTTGCTCAGCTGCTTCAGCTGCTGACCATAGAATTGAAGACTGCGGTGTGCCTTGTTGAGCACATTCACCAGCTCCACTACGCCATTGCTCACTGCCTTTTTCAGTTGTTTGTCTGTCTTGGCTGTCGTCATAAGCCTGCCCTTCTTGTTCCTCTGTGGGCAAACTTGCTCGCAGATTCCAAGGTCTGATAGAACTTCATCGGCATCATGATGCGCGACATGTCGAGCTACTGCGTGCAGAACCAGGTGTCGCTGACGCTCGTCCAAGTAGGAGTCAGCGATCGCTTGCACAAACCTGGCCACAGGCCTCTGACGTTCGGAGCCATCCACTGCCAACACCTTGACCTGTGCCGATGTTCGCTTTTGACTTACGCTGTGGTACAACAAGTCGGACTGGCAATGACTGGCATGTTATGTCATTATGTGCATTTGTGTCCTGCCTCCAGCTCAAGGGCCTGCCTTAGTATCTGTAGTGCATGTAATCTTGGTCCTTGCTGCATGCTGTCGTGCCTGCAAAGGGTCGAAATTTCTTGCTGCCTCGTTGCTGTAGGGCAGTGACCGTCGCAGATGACGACGAGGCTGCTGAACCCAGTGGTGGGACCTCGCTACCTTCCAGCACCTGATGAGGCGAAGCGAGGATTTGCTCCACGAAAACGGCCGCATCGGGGTGCAGCATTGCCATCTTGGATCGAATATCATCCTTCAAATCATCTGTCCAAGCACCAAGAGCCACAGCTCGAGCAACATCGATTCGCAACTGCACCTCCACTTTCTTCAGCCAGTCTCGTTTGCCGTTGCCCAGTCGCTGCACGGCCGATCCTGCGCACTCGGCCTCCCCGAGATCAAAGTGAGCACAGCGCTTCAGGAGTTCCTGGCGTGCCTGACGAGCTTCGGCAAGCTTCTTGCGGTCTTGCAGAATTTGCCTTTATTTAAAGTGCCGCGTACTAGACTGACCATACTGATGCAAATGGCATTGGGCTTACAGTGACCAGAAGGCTGAAATGGACACGCTGGCAAGGAGCAACACAACGCTGATTAGTGGCAAAGGTTATCCATGAACATATTGTGTCTGCGTTTGCTAGCTCAGAGTTGCTAGACCAGGGGATCTGGATGAAGCGCGTACACCCAACGACTAGATGAAGAGCAAGCAGGATCAGGCTCATGAACCGAGGCAGCTTCAAGCTTTCACCTCTTGGGCTGTCAGTCTTTCTTGCCGAGTTCACCTGCGACGTCGGTATTCTTCAGGTAGTACCTGCTGAAAGCTGCTGGAAAAAGGGGGGGCTGAAGACTTGAGTCTCAGTACGGCGCACCTTGGAAGTCTTGATTTCGCACAGAAGTACGTACCTTCCGGTGCCTAGCGCCACTTCTTCGGAGCAGGCATTGCATTGCAAGCGAGGTATCAACAAGATAAGGGAGGCAAAGGCATACATAAACTTCAGCACCACAACCTTCACGCAGGGATTCAGCACTACGTGCCCCGATCAAGGAATTTCAAAAAGATCAGCCTCTAAGAGCTGGATGCTGCTGGCAAGAACATGGCGAGGGACGGGAGAAGTTAAACAAGAGCTGCGGCATCCAGCACAACAGAGTTTCAAGTGCGAATTGGAAGAGAAGAAGGTATACAGCAACTGGCAGTTCAGTGAACTTCAACGTATCCAGACACGAGACGCCTCCTAACACCATGAGCCAGTTGCGCTACAGGGTTCTGAAGAGCGCTCGTTTCTGGCCTCCATGGTGATCTCGGAATAGCCCGTGGCCAAATCGAAAACGCCTTGATCATGGCAGGCTTGTCGGTAGATCAAACGCTCCTCAGCGGTGTGGTCCACCTGAGCATGTCAAGACTGTAAGGCAAACTCGACCGACGAAGCCTGCAGTCCCAGAAGCAGAGACGTCCTGCTCCTTGATCCCAATCTGCTCGATCAATTGCGAGGAGCTTTGCCGCATATGCCCTGTCACGAAGTGCTGCGCCACCTCCTGGCATGCCACATGCCGCGGGCTGTTTGACTACTGGAGCATGATCGAAGACCATTCCCTCCCGCAAAGCCCCACCTCCAGTTTCGCTTTGTTTTCTGCAAACCAGCTCAAAGATGTTGCTTTCCGCCTGCCCAAAATGTCTTCACTGATAAGCTGTGTAAGGCAATGAGCCTTCTCAGCGAGGCCCCGTAGTAATTTGCCTTGGCCATGAGCTCTGCGTGGCCCTGAAACGAGACAGTTCATCACATGCTATGCAAGTCCTATGCAGGTGCCATGCAAGTTCAGCGCGGCCTTCTTTGCGCTGGAGAAGCCCAGCAGGCCTGCAATTTCGGCAACAGCTGCAGCATCCTCCATTGGCGGGGTTCCGGAAAGTCCTCAACGCTGCATGTCTACTTCCCTAACAGTGTACATTCACCTGAATGCTGCTTCGGTTCCCCATTTGAAGGATGCCGTCAGTCCACGAAGCATCTCGCGCACTCTGTACTGCCATGCCTTGCTTCCAGTACAATCGAGCTGCTTGTTTCCCCCAATTAGGTTCACACTATATGGCTGTTTACGAATGCTTTGAGTGCATGGGACAGGCCTCGCTTTCATGGAACTCATCAAGGATGACCCGGCGCCACCACATAAGCTCCAGAATAGCAGGAGATTTCCCCAAGAGTTTCTTAAAACTTGCTGGTGTCTTGGATGCACTCCTGACGCGGTCTCGCAAAGCCAAGACCTTCTGGCTCATCAGGGTCGAGCCGAACCGGCTTGTTTGAGCATTTCGGGATGCCAATTTGATGTGGTCGGCATAGCCTTGGCTAGCCTGGATGGCTGTTGAAGCCAAGACCACATGAAACTTCAAGAAATCCTGTTGCTTCAAGTTCTTGAGCTCTTTCAAGTCTCGAACCACCAGCACCTGCATGGCCGAGTCACAGCATGAAGTGGCTGTACTTTCAACTCTCACAACACCCTGGCTCTTCACTTGCCCCTGCCTTCATTGAGTTGCGGCTGCCACCTGCATGTACAATGGCGTCACCCTTCTTCCTTGGAGCCCACGTAATGTCCACGTCAGTGCACAAGAACTTCTGCAGCTCACCCGTCCACTGCTCGACCAAATGCGAAGGGGCCATGATGAGCGTGGCGTTGGTTGGGATATAACCAGCCGTCTTTGCATCTTTAAAAGTTGGCTCGGCAAAATCCATAAGCGTTGCAGAAATCAGACTGATAGCTACACAAGTCTTGCCAAAACCCATCTTATCAGCCAGAAGCCCACCTCGGGTTGCAAAGCGCTGGATACAGACTTCTGTGTGCTCCTCAAGCTCTTGTTGCCGCCTTTCCTCCTCCAACTGGACGAAGGTTTGGAACACACGTTTGCGTTTGGTAGGGATAGCTTTTGTCTTTTCATTGGCCTTTGCCAGTTTCACCTTGACTCTTTGCTTCTCCACGGCTAGCATCCAACCCAGGGATCTTCTCTGCTCCTCACGTAGCGCGTGCCTCAGCTTCAATGAAACAAGCATGGTGTATGACTCAACATCTACCCGGCACAGGCAACCAACCAGAACCTATCCAACCATATCCAAACATATCCAAACACTGGCGGGAAACTCACGGAACTTGGACGGATTGTCTGCCAACAAATCATCGTTGTTGTTCGGAATCTTGAAGCAACTGGAGCATGCAGAGCCTGTGTCTTCACTGGCCTCTATTCGGCGCTTCTTGCCCACCGCAGGCACGAACAAGTCCGGCACATCATCGTCATCATCATCAGAAGCCGGTTCAGGGGAGCTATGCAAAGACGGGCCCTGCCAACTCGAAGATGGTGGCATAGAGGATGGTCGACTGAAAGACGAAGAAGGCATGTAAGATGATGGAACAGATGCCTGGCCACGTCCTCGAGCTGAGCCACCTCTTGCACAGAAACGGCCAAGGCGTGATTTGGCCTTGGCTTTCGCTTTGGCGTTGGTCTTTGCAGTTGCTGCAGGACGTCTTGCCTTGGCTAGAACCCCCCACCCACACCAATGTTGCATATGTTCCGCAACCAGGACCAAAACGAACACGCAAAAGCGAGCTGCGGCCAATCTGTAGGCGGCTTCAATAGCCGCCTCCAACTTGCTGTGACCTGCCCAGGCCTGCCTCGCGAGGCCAACATCGATGCCCAGCCTCAGCATTTTGCTGCCCTTGCTGCACTTGCCGACCAACTACTAGACTGCCGGCTCATGGCAAAGTGCATGGCTAACACTCATGGTCAGAAATTGAGACGACCAATCTGAACTATTAACTTCTATCCATGGACCACCAACAGAATCAAAGCCATAGCCGCGATTAGTCCCGAGATGCAATCGGGGGCAACGTTGCAGGATTGAGCAGGCTGGATTAATGGGGTTTAGGATCGGCCTGTGGATCCATCGGCCAAACCTGAATACTCTTCTTTGCCAACCAGCCACAAACTCACTAGCTCTGCCACGCGCGTGTCGACAGCTTCATCACCACTGCTGCTGTCGACAAGATCCCCCATTGCCCCTCATGAAGCTAAGGCACCGATTCTTGTCGCCTGGTGATACATCCCTACTTGCATGTCACCCTTTGTTTGCTGAAACAGATTTGCGAAGAACTTCCTCTTTCTGCTCCTTACCTTTGGAGGTAAGGGCAGACAATCCTCCAATCTGAGCCAATGCACGATCATCAAACATGAAGACTGCTGCATGTTGACAAGACGAAAATATTGGATTAAGAAAGGGGTGCTGGCTCGGCCTGCAGCCATGTAGAATGCACCCAATATGGGCCACGTCTTTTGCCAGGTCTTGAACCAGCCCTCCGGGAGGATTCCTTCGGTAGGGTGGACTTGGTTTTTTTGCAATGGCTGTGCAGATAAGGGTCCTTGCAAGAAGCCGAAGACTGGGCCAACCAAGGCCCAGGTACCCACACCGAGGCCCAAGAGCAGGGCGCCCACCACAGCTGCCTCAAGGTTACAGGCGGAACGATCTAGCAAGAGTCCAGTCCAGGCTCTTGCCCTTTGACAGGAGCCTGCTGGATTTCAGGCAACTCGTTGACGCCGCTGGGAGCCGGCGGCAGTGCCTGAAGAATACAAATACCACAACTGCACAGTTCGCAAACACTAACCATGAAACTCTGAAACCCTCTGAATAGAAGCTCGGGACGCCGTCTACAATGCACCAATGACTATCCACAATTGACAGCAAGAACCAGGAGGGCATGGAACCTTCTCACATTGACATTTCTCGACTTTTCACGTCTCTGACTTCTGGTATCTCCTAGGCCTTGGAAGTGCTCGTTTTGGGTTCCAGGCCTCAGCGGCCGCAACGCAGCTCGTGCCAAGAGCAGCACCGCACGCGGCTGCCGGGCGGAGGGACACTGAGCTGTCCTGGAGGCGTTCAACTCGCTTGCAATGATTCTTGCATCTTGTGATGTAGAGCTCCCAGGTGCTGCGGTGCTGCCTCCAGACTGTACTCGAAAGCATGTCTGCTGTCTGCTGGGTCCCAATATGTCCTAGTGCTTGTGCTTGGAAAGTTTTCAATTCCAGCAAACCTGACGTCCTGTCCTGCCGCACAGTGACATGAGAGCACTTCACAGAAACACAAATGGTAGTCTGGACCATCTACTTCTCTAGTGAATCCAATGCTGTCATGTCGGTCTAACAGCTTCTGCCAGAGGCAGCAGCGACCTAAATGCATCCCTGGACAATTTGATTGCAATCTCTTCTAACTGACAGGAAGAACTGCAGGATGTCGCCTCGTGAGCTGCTGGAGGGACGAAGGTTTGGGAAAGGATGCAGGTACCACAAGCCGTAAAGACCTGGCGATCCATTGAGTGCGACAGGGCAAATTTGGAAATGCTTCAACTTCGAAACACGAAACACACCTGGAAAGGAGGCATCGGCAAAGCCTAGCACAGCCCACGTAAACAGAACGAAGTTGAAGTCCAAGGAGCAAAAGCTGCCCGCGCTTTCTGTGCTCGCTGTCGTGGCAGTGCGCGTTGCGACATGATGGCCACCAGTGCTTACAGCTTTTAAGCACAAACATCTGGCTTACTGCAAGGGCCTAGCATGGATAAAGTGCGATTGGCTCGTATTGCGTTTGCTTAATCAGCTGTCTACCTCACTGGTTGCTTGACCCACTTTCTTGCGAAAGCTTGCTCTTCCGTTCTTCATGTTCATACATGTTTCTATGATACGGAGAATCACGCAGGTGGACCTATACCAACTGGCCACCAATGATCGACTCCCATGGCTTAACATCAAGGACCCTGCTCGGCAATTGCGTGCGCGCCACCACTGACGATGCTGGGCTTGCCGGGCCTTGGCATTGGTGTGTCAGGCAGAAGGTCGGAGAGCCTAATGCTTCGGGCTGATCATCTGTGCCTCTCATGCACCCGAGGATGCATCCCCAACTACGACTACTCCAACATGCTCAATGCTCAGATGTTGTGCTGGGAGGCCAGCCCACAATGCCTCATGGCCTGCATGTAATCTGCACATATCTGCACAGTGCAAATGGCTGACTTGTATGCATTTTCAGCAGACTGGGCTGGTCAGGACCAGGACTGTGATTTCGAATTCCATCATCAACTCTGCCACCTGCAGCACGTCTTTGAGGCCGCCAATGGACCCAAGGGCCCACATTGCTGCCTTGGCACGTGTGTGAGCTTTCCAGACCAGATCGAACGGCAGCATAATGTCTAATGTGTGGCATGGAATTAGTACCATACCGTCCTGTTGACTCAATCCAGCCTCAGCATCTGCTCCATCACCCTGCAGGCCCTCCTGCGCGAACGTCAGGGACTGCCGCATCCCGGCCGGGGGGGTTGGAACTGAGAAAGACTTTAGCTCCAATGTTTTCACAAATTACCTCGAGTTGCCTGCGCTAGCGCCAAGCATGCGCCACCTTGCCGCAATGCCTGCAAGCGCGTTCTTTGTGAAGTTTGCGCTGCCAAGTGCTGGAAAGCTGAGTCAAGGCCAATAAGTTGAGTAAAGTGAGCAATGAGCAAGAGGGGGTGCTTGAAAATTGTTTGATCTACGCCTGGGCCGCTTCAGGGCTCGCATCTGCGAGCGCGAGCATCAAGCAAGCCAAGACCTTGCGGATGTCCTGCCAACGAGACTCGCGACAGCTAAAATCTGCTCAGTGCAGACCCTGCAGGCCCTGCATCGTCCTGGCCAGTGGGCCCAGCTGCTCTTGGTGAGCGCAGAAGCTGTACCAAGATGTGGCAGCCTTGTGGCCAGTGGCCAGTGGCCAGTCGCGCATACGTCCAAGCTTGCTGCGTGCTGCAACTTGCTGCTGCCAATGATGAAGCGGGCAGGAAGATAGAAGAAGAGCAGAAAGAGAGCAAGAGAGAGCGAGAGAGAGAGAGAGATTGTCTTGACTTTGAATCCGCGGAACGTCCAGCGTCCCATGCACGACAACTGGGAGATAAGCTTTTCCACCCAGCCTTTCGAGAGCACATGACCAAGCACCAAGCCCAACCTTGTCACGTAGTGTCACAGACTTCCATGCCGAAGAATAACCGCCACCGTAGGGCCACATACCCTCGCACCGAATGCTGTTTGCCAGACACTGTAAAGAGCATAGCGAGTCATCTTCAAGCGGCGGTGCCCAGAGCAGCCAAGGCAGCTGGCAGTCAGGATCATCAGCAACAAACATTGCAAGCGAGCGGACTGTGCAGCGAGTGGCCAACTAGCAGGACTGGTTGCAGCCGTGGTGTAGAGGGAGAGAGAGCCAGAGAGGGACAGGCAGGGTAAGGGGCAAGGGAGAAGCAGAGAGAAACCGGGGGTAAAGGGCAACCGAGCAAGCCGTGGCACCCTTTTTCGGCTGCGTTTGGGCTCAGAATGGCAAGGCGAGGCGTTGCAAGTACAGTTGCTGGGCTAAGTGGAGAAGTTCCTACCGACTTCACAGCGTTTCGCAGCATGCTCGCAAAAGGCTTCCAAGATTCACGTCTCAAGCATCACTTGGCTTGCCGAGAGGCATCAACGTCTTCTTGGTTAACGGGGCATGCCATCTTATGTACAGTTGCGGTACCCCGGTCATTGGTTGGTGACACGATGAAAGCTTTTGTGGCTCTTCGCAAATACTATAAGATACGGTATGTATCTGTGGGACGAAACTTTCCCAAGAAACACGCAACTTCTTCCGGTAGCGAGGCACGCCGCCTGCACGGGAAACAAGCTCATCAAATGATGAGGGCACACAGCTCGCATGAAGGAGTAAACCTTCCAACAGCTTGATCGAATGTAGGCTAAGGTCTGCTTGCGCTAGAAGCCCCCACAGCTCTAATGCGAAAGCCTCGCTGCAGTCACAAATTGAAGCCCGCTGCCTGGCAAGTCATCAGTTTGATGAGGCTTGGCTTGAGTTATCCCCAGAAATGATATACAGTGTACAAGCATGCGGATGAAAACCCTTATCCTTTGTATGCAACCATGCTTGTACAGCACTCTGAGCACCACAGGTCCTTAGACAAGACACAACTCGCCGGGACGCCTTAGAGCAACCCTCCATACCATCCAGACTTTGCAAGTTTAATGCAAGCAACTCTGTTCACACCCCGGGTGCCTTCAGGCGCGGAGGAATGGAGGCCACGGAAGGCTGCGGCTGCGCGTGCTTCTTGGGCGTCTGCCGAGCAGCAACCATCACACTGAATGCCACAACAGAGACCACAGACAACTGAGATAAACATCGGAAAGAGCTAAGAGTACAGCACATCCTCGCATGCTCTCCCAACAATGGGTATACAGGAACCCATGAATCAAAGCCTCTTTGACTCTGGCTCCACTCAACCAAGAACATATAGCACTGGTCCCAGTCCAAGGCTGCAGCTGAAGGCTGCGAGTTGGTCTTCTGAGACCTGCCAGTCATGAAGTTGTCAGTCCACCTGTGGGCAAGCATGTCCTGCATCTTGCCTTGGGCTCAGAGGCACAGCAGCCGACAGTGCCTGACAAGTGGAAAGCATGGGCTTCTTCTTGCTGGACACTTTGGTCCGGAGCACAGTGGTCGCGGGCCGCTGCGGTGAAGCCACCTTGGGGCCTTCAACCGCAGGCCGGCCTTCAGCAACTTGCAAGGCCACTCGCAAGGCGACATGAGGCAACATGAATCCGTCTGCGAATGAGGATGCAGCGGCTCTTCCCGATGGGTAAAGTGATGCTTTGTGGGCCAGGCTCCTGCGGCATTTCCCCGGCAGCGCTAAACGTTATAATCGTCGCAACCCGGTGCCTTCGCAGAAGCAAAGGACTGCCTGCGGGCCAATGGTCTGAGCGCAGCGAACTCACACTATAGCCAACGAAATTTGGGCACGGGCTTCAGCTCACCCTGCCGAAGAGCACGCTCAAACTCGGCGCGGGAAATGCTTCCACTGCCATCCTTCCAAGTGGCTACTGCTCAAGGCTATTTACAGTACTCTTGCAGACCCATGCAAGATGCAACCAAACTCACACTTCTGCAGCTCAGTCCTTGTCAAGCTTTGCGAACAGATCCTGTGCTGCAGCCTGCAAACAAAGTGATCGATCCGCTCCGTATGAGAAAAAGCTTCGCTGTTCAGCTGATACAGGGCCGAGCCTTGGACATGGGAGCAGGTGCTGTCCCCAAGGTCCCATCACCCTGAGTTCGATCTTGCATGTAGGAAGTGTCAATGCCATGCATTGGGCTGCGCCGTCACTGGGATCCAGCACGAGCCAAGGGTCAGGCAGGCTGAGGGGGCATGCTTGCAGCATACTGCGAAAGCGGCACGTTGGTCATGGACCCCGTCACCTCTGCCAGCTGCTGTACTGTGCTTCACCGGTTCAACAGCGAATGTCTCATGCCCCAGGTGTCGAAAGGGAGCTTGAGGGAAATTGGGACCCGCACTGGCTGTGGCGGCAGTGTGGCCGCAAACTGGGACAGAACGCCACTAGCAGGCAACTCCTCAAAGGCAACAAAGATTGACTGGCAAAAGTTGGCAGGGAAAGCCCAGCCCACGCAAAGCCTGACTAGGTAACACAGGTCTTCCCTGCCCCTGCGCTTCCACAGCATATTGCACATACTGCAAGGAGACTCCCAGAAATGCGGCTTGCCTTTGGAGATATGGACATTGAAATCTGCGGTGCACTGATGTGCGTGGACGGCTTCACCTACGGCTTGTCAGGTGCCTACTTTCTCGCGAGCAGAACCCCAGACCTACTCCTCAAAAGGACAAGCGCTGGCGCTCAACATGCCAAGCGACGACGAGACATTGGAAACAAGAGTCAAGGCAACTGCTGGGGTCGACACTGGCTGGGGCCAGATGACTGACGAGTTTGGCCCAGCCTGTTACAGCTGTAGCATTTGTAACGCTGCTCAACTGCTAAAACACTTCTCGATAGGCTTTAAACCATCAGCCATTCTCCAATACGTGATTCATGGACAGGGCTCTCAAACTAGAAGTATGACACCGCCCGATCATGCCTTTCATTTCTTGTTCTGCAGCAGCGAGAATCTGCAAACTTTGAGCCCAGTCCTGCGTCTGGGTGGTGGTGGCTGACCTGGGCTTTGGAGGTCAGAGCTTCACTTCTCAAGGCTGTGTCTGGACTGTCTGGACCATCTGGGCTGCTGGCGGAGACACTGTGCCACTTCGCAGTGCCGCCTCGAACTCTGCGCGAGTAATGGAACCAGTGTGATCCTGACCGACGCTCTTGGGCTGGCATTGGCAGCAATTCTGAATGCAGTGGTTGCCATGACATCCTCATTCCCCTACAGTAATTAGCCCCTGAGCTTTGAATGGAACCCCTCAGCTTGGAATGGAACCCTGCGCTTTCGACGCGTGGGATGCAACCTCAACCTCGTTCTGGAAGCTTTGGCACACGTACCTTGTCAATGCGGGAAAAAAGATCGCTGCCGCTGAGAACCTTTGCTCGGCGTTTGCCGGAGTCCTGCAGCGATGGGGCTCGGCTCTATGGTGCTCTGACTCGTGCAGGGTGCACTCCTCAGGATGCAAGCTCCCGACGATGTCATCGCTCTCCAAGTTTGCCGCATCTGCGCAGATTCCGTGATTGGCTGAAGTGGGAACCTCGAAGGAGACTCCAGAAAACGGCCTTCTTCATCAGACAGCCGTGGCGGTGACCAGGTATCCTGACTGAAGCGTGAGGCTGACACAAAACAGACGGATACTGCAAGAGTAGGCTAGCCTCATGCAACTCCTGCGCGCGAGGCCACCAGGGCCTCATGGGGAGTCTCTAGCTTTGCGGCTTGGAGTGGACACTGGTTTATGCCCAACGCTAGTTGACTTACGAGTATCAACAACCGTGCCTCTCGGGTAATGGGAGGCCATCCCAGGGTCGCGAGTGAATCCAGATCTTGCCACTGAGACCTTTCCCGAATTGCAGTGGAAGCCTTCCAGGGATTCCAACGAAACAAGAGCGCGCGCACATAGCCACCCAACAGGTACATTCTACATGCGCTGCAAGCAAGAGGCTCTACAGAGACCTGTCCCGAATGCGCCGCTGCACCTCAGATGCCCAGCAGCAGATGCAAGTAAGCCATTGCGTGATGCAGTCCATTGCAGATGAGGTGCGCCACAGGCTCTGAGTCCCAACAGTGCAATGGCCCAACACACGATCCCATGTGTCAACCACCTGTTCAGTTTGGCTCTCAGTTCCTCTACTCGAGCCAATCCATTACCAGCGGTGCCTCGAAGCGTGTGGAAAACGAAGCCCGCGGCAACAGCAAGAATCCTTGGCGCACGAAAGGTGTGATGCCACAGAATGCCAGCTTGTTTTGTGGTTGTATGAGCCCGTATTTCAGCAACTGCTGAACACCGCCATAATCCACCGTCAGGACAAAATCAGTTCCCTCCAGTTGCCCATCCTCAAGTTTGACACCTTCCAGACCAAGGGATGACCGTGCAGTCCAGGACTGAAGGACAAGCCAAAAACAAGCCATGCACGCTCACCAGCTTGTCAAAATTTTCGGACAGCAACCCCCTTGAACTAATGAGGACCTGGTATCCGCCAGTTGTTCTAGCTCTTTGCTGTAATGTTTGAATGTCTTGACAATGCAGAACCCTTTTTGGGGGGAGTTCGAAAACAGGTAATGAACACAAATGCAAACAGCCAAGGATTGATTTCACTGCTTGATACGCCTTCCCCGTTTGCTTGTCAGATTGTGTCCCTGTTGTGGACATCCTTTACGCAAGCTAAAGCCGCAGTAGTCATCGTGTTGAAGTGTGAACAAAGCCGGGTTCAAGCCGCATGTGTTGGAGCACTGGGATGTCGGTCTTTTACATCGTTTTTATTTGGCAAGAACAATCTTATGAAATCTGCCCAGTCTGGTCGCTGCTGTTAGCTGCTGCCATTCTGGCAGCCTCGGCTGGGTACTGGCTGCGTGTTGTGCTCTAACCGAGCACATAACAACCAGACACAACACGGGAGCTAAAACAGCCCAGAGTCGCTCGTTCCAGACTGGCATGTTATAGGGCTGCCGCTTCTGAAGCGAAGTCTCCTGAGCTTGGCAGAAATGAGGCCCTGGGATTCAATGTCGACCCCCACACACAGTTCTCAGCACTCTCTCTTGTAGCAGTAGCAATGCCAAGTCAAGGAGCTCCCACGTTCTCGTGATCCATGAAGATCCTGTCCGGGCTGATACAAGACATAGAAGAACGAAAAGATTCCTTGCGAGAAAACACACTCTCTGCTGGCCTCACGAAAGTGGGTGTTGCTGAAGCGCTGGCCTTGAGGCAGGAAATACCCTACTGCTTGCAAAATTTGCAGGATCCTGCTTGCCAGCTAGGAATTGATAAGCTGGCCAAAAGCGCTTGGCGGTGCAGTCTACACGTGGCTTTGTCAGAAGCAGCTTCAAGTCAGGAGAAGGGATGCGGAAGACGCGGCCTTCATGTTCGCATCACCCACCACCACCTTGAGTGCAAGCTTCCGGTGTGCCTTTCGACATGCGTCGTCTTTTCGATCCATGCCTCCAGGACTGGCTCATCTGGATCAACCTCGCCGGACTGATACTCAGGATCCTCCGCTATCAGAAGATCCCTGCACATGCGACAATGGAACTTGCATGCTACTTTCTGAGCCATGTTATTTGCCCAGCTATCTCCTGCACCAGCTCCCGGATTTGGCGGAAATTGGTCGTATACCTGGCAAAAAATTTCCAGTATCACAGGGCACGAGGACTTTCCTCCCCGCCGCGCACCAACCCTTCGTGACGAGGTCAGAGGCCGCGGCAACCGGAAGCAGAATCAAATCCTCAAAGATCTCAGGAGCCAAGTTCAGGTTTAAGTCCGACATTCGTGAACCAGATAAGTATGCCTGTACAATCCTTTTCTGAACCAGCCACACAGTGGGGTTGATCAGCTGCTGCTTCCCAAATGTGTATAAATCAAATTGCCTCGTTATCGCTTGAAGCCGTATCGTATGTTTTGGATTTGGGCAAACACCAGATTAGGTCCCAGCCAATGCAAGCTTTGTCCGATTCTTGACCGGCTCAAAAAAACAGGCTGGGACCTTCCGTGCTACTTGCAGGTGGACCAAAGATGCTGATATTTCTGATGGCTTCAAACACCATAGCCATAGACTATACTGGCTGAGAAGTTAACTGCTTCCCAACTCCGGTGCAACGGCATTGCATGGCATTGCACTGTGGAGCTGCACCTACTGTTTGAAGCTCCACCTGGCAAAGTTCAGAAATTTCTCAGCTACCTGCCGCCTGCTGCGCACTCACAGACCCATACGTCCGCTGTTCCTGAAAGCATGCAAGGCTGCACAGATCAACTGCTTGGATCGCTCTCCCGCCCGGTTTTACTATGATTCTTCTTGGCATGACTTCATGACTTGTCAAGCTGAACAACAACTTGCTGACCACAACCCTTGGACATGTCAGTGGCCCTGCTCACTCACGACAGCAGGAATTGAACAACAAGCCAAGAAACAGAGCACCAGCAACGGAGTCAAGATCCCAGGAGCCCTGGGGGCCCACGTATCCCTCCTCGGCAAACAACGTTGCAAAGGCAGAGCGAAACATGGGAATTTCTCATGAGTCTCGACTCATGACTGCTAGGTGTGCTAGGTCTGCGGCTGGGAACAGGGGGAAGAGCGGGCCCTTGACCACCAGGTTGTGATGCACCATGCCGGAGAAGGCCAGCATGGCCAGGCGTCCATTGGTCAGCTCCTTAACGGCCAGCTCTTCGGCAGCAGCCTTGTCGCCAGGGAGGAATCGCTTGCCGAAGTTCAGGTCGCCAGGAGCTCGGCTGGCTCCGTCTCCCTCGAACATGTCCAGCATTGTGATCTTGCCACCATATGCGGCGCTCTCAATGTAGCCACAGAGGAAGAGCAGAACCCCAGAGGCATTGAGAGGAGCGGTGTAGACAGCCTGCAAGGCATCAGGAGCCCCTTCGAAGCCTGGCAGCTGCCAGTATTGCTCTGCCACAAAACCAACGCATGCAAGCATGCACACACGGCCATGCTTCAGCTCTGACTCACGCAGCCACTTGATGTCGCAGACGTCCGAGAAGCCAAGAGGGTCAAACTCGGCCTCGCCTCCAACAAGTCCACCCAGGTTCTGTGGCTTCGGAAGGAAAGGCAGGCTCTTGCTGGAAGACGCCTGGCAAACGGTTCGGCTGCCCGAACGGGTCGGGGCCACCGCACCGCAGAAGGAAGACCCGCTCCTTGCCTCATCCTTCTTGGCTACGGCAGACACTTGAACGTCAAAGAAGGGCCACTTGTCCTGGGTGAGGACGGCAGAAGTCACGATGCCGGAGTATGCGAGCATTGCCAATCGCCCGTTGCGCAGCTCCTTGACCTGCATGTCGTACTGGCCCTTGGGGTCGCTGGGGTAGAAGCCACGCAGACCGAAGTCTCCGGGCTTGCGGTCAGTCTTTCCCTCGCGCATGTTGACATAAGCAAAGAGTCCAAGAACCTCTAGCAGACCGCACCAAATGAGGATCTGAGGCATGCCGCCAAACTTCACCATGGCATCGTGGGCCTCAATGGTGGAAACCTGGAAGGCATCTCCGGGCACACGGAGTCCGAGGTCTGTGGCAATCCATCCAACGGTAGCAAGCATTGCAACTCGTCCATGTTTAAGTTCCGCCTCACGCAACCATCCAATCTCAAAGGCCAAGGAGAAGCCCATTGGGTCGAAGCCCTCCTCTTCACCGGGGATGCCCTCCAGAGCAGGGGACATGGGAAGGAAAGGAACGGCTGCGCTCATCTTGTAGCCAGCTTGCCTTGCGACCATACCGCGCTGGTTCTGGCTATTGCCGGACACCAAGGAGCCCTTCTTGGCTACTGAAACGGATGAGCTAAGTCCGAAGGACTTCTGCTCCTTCTGCGCGTAAAGCCACGGGAAGCCATTGCCTGTCAGAGTGGCCTGCGTGATTGCACCACCAAATGCAAGCATGGCAAGGCGACCGTTCTTCAACTCCTTAAGCTTCATCTCCTTCACCTTGGCAGGGTCGCTCGGAAGGAAGCTGGTGCCGAGCTGATAGTCGCCAGCATTCTCAAGGGTGAGGCCAGGCTTGTTTGAGACATTGCAGGTCTTAGCGAAGGTTGTCAACATCTCTATGAGACCACAGAAGGCATACACCTGGAAGAGGGGACCTGCCTGGTCATCTGCGCCAGCGAAGAAGTCGCCGGTGTTGATGAGAAATGGAAAGGGAGGATTTCCTGCACAGGCGTTGTGCGCGTCCACAACCGTCTTTGCCGCATAGCAAGGATGGGATCCAGGAATGCGGACAATCTCCGGAACTACCAAGCCCACAAAAGCAAGCATGGCAATACGGCCATGTTTAAGCTCTGACTCTCGGAACCAAGGCAAGTATTTCTCGCATTTCACTGACAGGCCAAGGGGGTCGAAATTGAAGTCCTGACCTGCGAAGGCTGACTCGCCACCAATCAAGCCGCCTGCGAAGGGCTTCTCATCTGTGACACCTGTAGCCTCTGCACGGCGGGCGGTCTTGCCGCGCGCAGCCCTTCGGCTGGACACGAGCACCAGGGCCGCTGTGGCCACTGCCGTGGCAGCTGCCTGGCCTGAGCTTGCCTGGCTGGACTCCGTGTGCGCCACCGGCGCCGCCTGGGCTCCTCTCAACGCGCTGCCAGTGCTGCTGGAGCTGGCGGACGGTGCCACAAACGCTGATGCTCCCAAGACGGAGGCGCCTACGGCGCCGAGGGTCAGGGCACTCCTGGAGGTCATGGCTCGTGTGGCACAGGAGTGGCACGACTGACAGCTGAGCCTAAATGGGCTTCAGAGTGACAAGGCACGGCATGGGTGCAGCGATGTCACCACCAACAACAGCAGCGACTCAGACGCCAACGACCACCACCAGAAAAACAACAGGAAGAAAAGAAGAAGTTGCCATCAATATCTACAGTAACACCAATGCCAACACTACGACAAACAACAACACCTGCAATAGCAGCATGAAGTGGCACTAGCAGCAGCAATAGTAGCAGTCACCACATTGTTTGTTCATTGTGTGACGTGCTTTCTCTCCCTTTGCTTGTCTTGGGCCAGCACTCTGACAATCTGATCCATGCCAAGGTGGGGCTGCCTCGCTCAGAATTTCCCCAGCTGGTAACTTCCCGCAAATTGGTTTCGATTTTTCTGAGCTCTGAGTAACCCTCTTGCATCACCCCCCGAAGCCTGCGGCTCGAACGACGTCACTTCTACACCATGCTTTGAACTCTTGAGAGGAAACGCTGCGGCGAAGCAGGTCATAGTCAAGCACATTTCCTTGCCCAGAGCCTCATCTAGAGCTCCCTGACTGTTATCTCATGCGTTTAATGCCGAACACCCAGCGTAGCAGGAAAGAGCCCGCAGACGAGAGCTAACCCCACCTCCGCGAGATGCGACCGCGAAAGCAAGCCGGGCATCCTCAAGGCCACATGCTCCAGCAACTGGAATTGCAGCGGTATTGCGGCCTCTTACCCGTCCATGCCAACAATGCAAGTTGTGTCAGGCTGCCGGCCTTCTCAACCAGGGTCTCCAATGCGGTGCAAGTTGCCCAAAGCCTCAGCACAAGGTTGTCTCGTTACGAAAGTGAGTTGTGCACAGACCCACGCATGTAGCATTGCCTTGCTTCGAGCATCTGGAGTTCTCTAGAGCCCCATGTAAACACCCGCGTAGCTGAGGCATTTCCATGAAATGTAAGTCCACCACGAGTCCTCATCCAGGCCGCCGATACTTAAAACCTTGCAAATCATCTTCCACTAATCATGGTCATCACATCGAACCAGAATCTAGGATGGATTTGTGCAAGCTACCCCTTGTTTGGGAACAACACATGGCTTTGCATCACCAAATTTAAAGTTTCTGCACAGCCCTGGCCTCGGACAGCAGCATGACGACACTCTCTGGCTGCACCACCTTTGCAGGCAACAATGTCTGGTGTGTAAATGCTAGAGGTAGGAAGCAGAGGGAACCTACCAGAACCATGCCTCTGCGGCGGCCAGGGCAGATGTTGACTTCCTCCGTGGACTGACCTCGCGACGTTTTTGTCGCAGCATTACACAGAACCGTCAGCGGATCAATCGTTGGGTGCGCAGCCAAATGGTAGAGAGCGCCACACACGGCGCCACGCACTGCGACCTCTTCGGAGCTCTGGCCCCGACACCTCAGTTGCCCTCAGTGCAAGAGAACCAGGTTCCATCAGAGAAACAAGACTGACAAAAAGGAAGCCTGTGAAACCCAGTCAAACTAAGCATCAGGAAAAAGTCACACCTTGCAACACAAAGCCTGCAGAAAGACAAGCAAAGAGCTGCGGAGTGAAACGGGAACATCAGTAAAATGTAGCCACGGACACACACATCAGGGCTAACCTTGTGCATGAAACGTTAGATGATAGGTCTGCCCACAGAGCAGAGCATTTACAGCTAGCTAGCTCCTGCGCTTGCCACGGAAGGTTGGCAAGCACAAACAGATCAAGCTCATTCAAGATCCAACCGATGTGTCTATCCCATTGAGACCAGCCGCCCTTCCAGAAGTTCTGCAAGAGATCGCAAACCTTCTAGCGCGTACCTTAGCTCAAAAACAAAGCAGTCATTCCTTGTCCAAGGTTGCGCAATTCAATACACACCTTAATCAATCACTTTCAGCCTCAGAAGAGTTCAAATCACCAAGGTCAGGACACTGTCCAAACGCCGTTCTCAAGCAGCTGCGGCCTCAGTCGAATGCAGCACCCTCATTTGAATTGAACCTCTACCCAACTCCCAGAACACGGCCAAAAAACCATGACGTTCTGGGCTGCCGGCTGACTGGCATGACAGAGCAGCGCGGCCTCTGCTGCAACAACATGCGGCACTCAGGCCAGCAGAGTCCTTCAGCTCGCATGGAGTGCCCAACTGTACCCTCCCTGTGTGGAGTCAAGGTATGTTGGTACCTTCTGTTACCCTTTGTCTCACAAGCCCCAATCTGCTGGTAGAACGGGATACTATGGGATGCAAACTGTTCCGTTCTGTTCTGTTCTGAACCGGCCTTGAGCACGGATACACCACCAGCTTGAAGTATCCAGGCCTCTGCATGCACTGCATCAAGCAAGCAGAGATCATCACCTGATGAACCGTCATGCCCAGGCCGAATGAAAACAGGCACACAAGCGCACTCTGCCTGTCTGGCTGTGATCTCACATGAGAAATATGCACCCAAAGCAAGCCCACCTTTGCAGTATCGCTTCTGCGTGCCACCTGTGGAGTGGGAGGGCTGTTTAAACGCGGCCAATCGTGGAGAAGCCTTGTAGACCATCCAGACTACATCCTCGGCAGCGCTCGCACTGGCCTGCGCACACAAGCAACGGTGAGCAACAGTGTAGAAGAGCAGTTTAAATGTTAAGCAGGAAGGATCCCTCTGGTTCGGCCTTGGTGCTCTTCTGCAGGGCCTCCAGGAGGAATTGCACGCAGCGCTGGCCATGTACCTGAACGCATATTCCTTTGCCATGAGGCAGTCTTGGTCACATCCCGCCTCGCACTGTGCAAGAGCCTCGTGCGCAACCTTCGGCTACTGCAAGAGCTGATAACTCTCTGTACACATCGATGGCATCCGTGGGCTAAACAGTCTCGCTTCCCGCACCTGCAAGGAAGCTGTTCGCAGCTCCTCGTGTTGCACCTGCTGACCGTCATGCATGTATTTGGGAACATCCAGACGCCATCGAAGAACACCAGAGATCTCTAACCCTCACCGTGTGTCTATCTTGTTTCTGCATGTGTTTGGCCACATCTCTAGAGTTGCAAAAATTAGCAGTGCAAAACACACTTGCTCATGTTGCGTAGATTTGTAGATGGATGATAGCTCTGACAAAACTGTCATGTTTTGCATGTTGTAGAATCTTCTGCAGCCTGCGGTCATGCAAGAGTTCCCAGTTTGCGAGCATCACATCCTAATGCCTCTCTTGCACCCATTGGCTGCCACAGCTCGGGTCTCAACAAATCTCTGAGGCTGCTGCCTGCCCTGCCACATTGGCAAACTGAGCGACCGCCCGTAGCGCAGATTGCGCCCGGTCCTCCGAGTCCAAAGCAACTTACACTCAGTGTGCTCAGACATTCTCAGACATCAAAACCACGAACAGCTCGGCCGGTTACACATGCAGGCCAGCACCAAAAACACTCATCCCCATCATCCCCGTTGCCCCTGCTACAGTTGCCCACCTCCGAGGACACGATGCACATGGCATGCACTCAATGGGATGATCTCCCCTCTTCTTTGCCTCTGCTTCATTCTTACACTGCTGCTCAATCTGGATCCAAAGGTCACTGATGTTGACTATTGGCTAGAGGCCAACTTCTGCAGGGAAGGGTTCAATGCTGGTGTTGTTGGACGTGAGTAGCGGTTGGTGTGAAGGCTGAATCAAAGCTTGGGCCAGATGGCTCGGCTTCGAACTTCAAAGTTGACAGCCAGTACAGTGGTGGATCAGTCGTAGATCATCCCGACAATAACCAGGGATGCCGGCACCATCCCGCCAACTTTTCTGCTGGGAACTTTGCCAACAATGAGAAACGATACGCAACTACACCCACAGAGTTCTGGTTCTATTTCCCAAAACTCTTCTGGGGACCCTACAACTCTGGTGGACTACCTGTGTCATCACCGGATGCTGCGCCATTGCGGGCATCGGCCGCTCCTTCGGGCCCTAGGGACCCTACATGCGAAGGAACTTGAAATCCTTCTATCAGCTTCCATCATAGCCCAACAATGCAATCAACATCGCTGATACTGCTTCTTCGTGCAAGCATGTCTGAGCACAATCTCTTCAATCAACCAACTCTTACTTGTGAAGAGGGCCACGAAGCCCGGAGCGGACCGTTGGGGCAGGGGGCCAGCGCCAGGGCCCTCATGCTATCATGGATTGGAGAAGAATGATGTATAGGAGGCTCCAATTTCAAAATGCCGCCCACAAGATTGCGCCTCGGAGAGAGCCCCCACAAATATCCACATGTTGTAGGAAACTGCTCTGAAACGTAAGAAGAATTCAAAGCATGCAACACAAAGAACCAACATGTTTCAGATCTCAAGAACGACCGCCAGCCTTCATCGACCAGTAGCATCAAGGAGGGGGGTTCATCGGGGCAAAGGGGAACGAACTGCACCCGTCCATGAAAATTGATTTTCGGGGCGAAAGGACCTCTGCATCCAAGTCTGACCCTTCAAGAGAATCTGACAAGATCTGAAACATGACCAAGCCCGAGAACAGGAACGTGACCACAACCGTCCTCCAGGCTGCAGCAGAAATTGGAAGAAAGGGCTGCCAGCATAGGGCCTCATCAAGGCACTGGGCCACACAAGCACTCCCAAGCCTACATGGTTGAGAATAACTCTGCACATGCCAAATTGATGAATTTGAGGTCTAAGACCTCGTTCATTCACTGCATGTGAACATCGAACTTGCAAAGGCTGATTCCCAGCAATTCATAGCAAACGCATCTAGCATGAGCCTGATGATGCTCTTCCCGTTGGCAGCTTCCGAGGGCCACACTCCACACGGAACCATTGCTGCGCAACCCACTTCTCTCCTGGAAGTAGTTTGAGGTTTCAGGAGCAGTCCTCACAAGTGTTAATGGCAGAGCTTCAAGCTCCGCCACAGGACTCCTTGCAGAATCGGGCACGAGGCATGCATTGATAGCGGATTGTGCCTGGGCAGCTACTTCCAATTCTGCTTTCAGCATGCACCAGCTTAAGCCGGCTAGTACCCTGCTCGACCTTGATCAGCCTTCAAAGCACTTCAGAAATCTGGAGACAACTCGCTGGCTCAGGGCGCGGACCGGCCATCCAAGTCATGAGAGAAGAAAAGCACGGCAGTCCCTTTCTTTGCCTTCACCTCGGCACCGGCACGAACATGAAGCAAACGGCATAGAAAGTGCCAGCATCTTCTGCGAGGCTTCTAAGATGACTGTGACACTTCAGGAGCCTGATGAGAGCCGCACAGCAAAACCGCCGCCTTCTTTCACGACCAGCTCCTGCCATGCGACAAAATGAAAAAGAGAGGCCTGGAATGCGTGGCAAAACCTTGTATGGAGTCTTCATGACAGAACAAAAATGACAGTTTCGCAGGCATTTCTTCAACCCTTTGAACATTTGCGTCTCACTTGCACTGCCTCGATCCGTGAGCAGCAATCTTCAAAGTCCGCCTCCTCCACAAATGGAAAGGGCAGTTTAAGGCTGCATTCATGTCAATGTATACAGACCAAATCAGGACACCATGTGAATGACATGGTTCTGATGTCTATGTGCCATGGTCCTTATGCTCATGCATCTGCGGCTTCCCCAAACTTCCAAATTGTGCCTACACCGACACAGGTCCTGACACCGGCGATGTTTTGGAAAAATGGTCTCCCCTCCAGCCTGGCTTTCTTGACTTGTAATGATAAACGCTGTTTTCTACCATTGAGGCACCTTTCATGCACTTACAATTCCTGCAAAGAAGCGTTTCAGTGCTCAGGATATGTGAGTCCAGGCTCCAAGAATTCTGATGCAACCCGGAGCACCACAAATTGCAAGATCTCAGCGCCAACCCCGGGGGGAATAGACTCTGTCTGCCAGAAAAATATCTAAAACAAGCAAATTGGATAAATCTGGCCGCCTCTGGTGGCTCGAGGTACACCAGGACTGTGGCTGCACGCCGTACACTCTGCGTTGGCTCTGAGTCATAATGTGGCTGGTAGAACCTGAGATGTTGCACTGGGAAGTGTGCATGGGTGCTGTCAACACACGCACGGCTGATGTCTATGAACCCACCACCACAAAAAGGACTGCTTCAGATCAAGATACTCGCCGACGCGATACCTTCCCACCTCACTGCAAACAATGCTGGTACAATGTGGTGCGCCTTCACTCTTCACATGCAGATTGCTGCTTCCCACCTGAAGAGGCTCTGCATGCCCGGCAGGGATGCGTGCAAGGATTTGCATGCGCTGCTGGAGAGCCACAACCAAGGGATCCTGGGCTGAAAACATCTTAAGCCTTTGTGAGACATGCACAGACGCGGCTCCTTGAAAGGCATGCTCAGCAGTGCGCCTTGTAGTGGCTGGCCTTGTCGAAGTACATCTGGGAATTTGTCCGAACTTTGTCCGGCAAAGCGGCGCCTGCCATACAGCAGCTGGTGGTTTCATGCTGCTGTCCTGCCCGGCTCACGGAGAACCTCATGGTGAACAGGAAAATTGAATCAAGCACCGCCTGTGCTTCGGTTGATTGTCTTGGCCTCCTGTAGGTGGGACGAAGCCATTTGTTTCAGCACCTTCGTTTGGCCAGACTCTGTCCGAAACCGCAACAAAAGCTCGCGCAATGGAAAACTACATTTTGCGATTGGTCTGGTCAACTCAAAGTTGACAATGAAAGGCAAGCACAGCCTCATGTTTGGAACAAACAAGAATTGCCTCGCACTCCTCGACGGAAAGAAACCTGGCTGTGCAGCATATGCTTGCCGCCGAGCGACAGAAGCGCTTGCCACGTTCGCTAGATGAGCGCAACATTAACTAAATGAGCAACTCCCTGTTCTTACAATGTAGGACTTTCATATTTTGCACAGTATTTGACTGGTGCAAATCTTTGCTAGCCAATGCAAACGTGGCCCTGTCGCAAAGAGCCAGTGCAACTCTTCCACCAGCAACACTCGCGGACTGTAGGAGACCTGCCCACACGTGCGGAGTCGGGGTGACTTACCATCACCCTATGTTCCTGCATTATCCAACCTCGAGAAGGTGCGGTTCGTTGAGCGCTGCGGCAGGACTGGGCGGCACAAAAGGCAAGCATGTGTTCTAGCAAACCTGTCCAAAGCTGCAAACCTGGAACCACCTGCATGCAAAATAATGAGCTGATGGTGCCTCATTTTTTGCTCCAGTTGCCTGTAGAGCTTGGCATGCAAGGCGCCTCAAAACCCAGGCTAGTCATGATTTGCAAACACGTCCTGTCATTAAAGTGCAAAGTCCACTTGCGGCCTTCGTCCCCAGGGCACACATGGCATGATGCGCGGCACACTTCCAGCATGAAGCGCGGGTTGGCCTGCAGGGAACACTTGCATGCTGGGATAACCTAAAGATTTAGAATATGTGCATACGCTCGCCAAACCTTGCGTCTGCATAAGATGCGTGCGATACCGCGCGAATCCATGCTCTGCTATGCGAAGCCCAAACCAGACTGGCCTCGCATTCTCCTATCGCAGCCCAATAAGCACATTGGTTGTTGCCATCTGTGCAAGGAGCTTCGGTCACGGGCCTTGGTCCGCATGACACAACAATGCATGGGGAATCTTATCAGCTGATTTTGAGCTTGTCGAAAAATTGAAAAATAGAGGTTTGTATATCAAAATTCCTGTATGAACTGGCTCCACCACAAAGATGTGTTCATGAAATATTGCACGCTTAAGCAAACTAGCCGACTTACGCTTGATGAATCAAACAGGTGCCACGTTTGCCAAGATACAATGGTGCCAATCCATGGGCTGCAACTGCCGCAACAAGTACAAGCAACCATGGCATCATCCGGCTACCGGATTGGTTTTGTCAAGTATTGTTTGAATCTCAAATCTGGATGTTTTGTGTGGTGTCCATGCTGGCTTATGACATATTCCGCCTGATACACACTGACAAAGGCGCACACCAGATACCTCGTGAAACACCGTTAGTGGCTTGGCTTCATAACAACCATCCATACACCCGGATATGAACATGAGGACCGATTGCAAGGAAGGGGCTGGGTCACTGACTGATCCCAGCGACCAACTGGCCAGCGGCTTCATTCAGCCAGGCAACATGCGTCATCAGCTGCCTATCCAAAAAGGTGCAAGCACACTTTTTCGCTGACACTCAGCCGGTGAAATCTGTCAAGAACACTGTTTAATTCCAGCCAAAAGTGCATCTCAATTTGTTGACTGGCATACCGGCCTATGAGCTGAACATGGTTTTTCCGCGCCATTCTCAATTCTTTGGGGCCATCGCTGGGGTTATTGCTTCAAGAATTCCACTGCACATGGCTTACGTTGGGGGATCTTGATTTTGGGACACGCCATCACCGAAATTCACTGACAAATCAAAGCATGCCAAACTTGTGCACACAAGGGAGACCCATCTGGCAGGGACAGATAATGCTACTGCTCAAGGGCCTCAAGGGAGCAATGCTATTTGTTTTAATCGGTCATAACGGATCCGTCGCACTGCCGGTTTCTATAATAAACTTGACCCTGGGGCCCACCGCTAAGACGGTTTATTTCCCCGAATTCAAAATCACACATTTAAAGTATCCTGGTTATTTCCCTCAGAATATCCAACATTCAGCATGCAGAGATGTTCTTTGATTCTTGTGTCATGCATTCGGACATGACTGCAACCAATGTGCGCACCTCACGATTTTTCTCTGGTAAGGAACTGTGGGGTTGAGTCACATGATGTTGGCATGACGTGTGACCTCAAGTGCATCCATACACGAAGCATGTCTGGCTCAAGTTGTTTTGTAATGTTTACTTAGCGGTAGGGCAGCTGAATGAAGACATGGATGGCGATGATGCTGCTCCTGCTAACCACGGCTGCGATGCCATGCTGCACAGAGAAGTGGCCGATGCATGGCACCATCTCCAATGCTATGTTTTTCGAGAGTACCTGGTGCAACGTCTCAGCACAGTCTGGCGGCGAAACCGCCACTCCTCCAGAAGTGTGGCAGCGAAATTATTAGCCCTCCAGAGACGGCTCGCGGATCTTGACATGGTGGCAGTTCGAAGGGTACTCACCCCGCTTTTTCCGCCAGCACTACGTGACAAAAGTGACTGACCGACTCTGTTGCTTGTTGTGAGCCAAGCGTAGGAAATCTCAACTTGAACGTTGCATGTTTTTATTTTGTCATGCATGTTTTAGTTGTATTTACCCTACGTTGGTAGTCTATGCATATTTCCGTAGCTTGGCTCAGCCGCAGGCTTAGAAATTTTCACCCACCCACCACACCCTGGGATAAGCACGCATTGCTACTAAGTCTGCGCATCACTGCACGCACTGCAGCGCACACTAAGCATTCTCGTTTCACTCCCAGCAGTTTTCACCGCATTGCAGGGGGGTTTAACTTTCTCTCCTGTAATGCTGCACTGCATATTCCTCGCACTACGTGACAAAAGTGACTGACCGACTCTGTTGCTTGTTGTGAGCCAAGCGTAGGAAATCTCAACTTGAACACGGAAGGCCCTGAAGCACTGCGCCAGCCTGTCGTGCTCTATGCAGTGCAGCATTACAGGAGAGAAAGTCAAACCCCCACTTTAGGTCCGAGCGCTCTGTGACAAAGTCGTTATGCCCTGCCGCGTCAGAGCGGGAGTACCTGCAGAAACGGAGCTTGCGGTGCCAACTGCATGCAAGTACCGTGCAACTTGAGCATGAATTCTCTTTTCTGATTTGCAGTGCGAGAGAGGTAACAACATCTAATGCTGTGCGTCCAATAGAGGCTGCGCCCATGCCGCATGCGGAGGGTAAAGTGCAACTATGCCCTGCGGGCGTGCCAACATGTCCAGCGGGACGCGCTCTCTGTCTGCACTGCGCCTG